AGAAGTCTGACATATTTTATAGACACAAAAATATCCCACAGTTAACTATCATCATTTAACCTCATTTTTCCTTTCTAGAAGAGTTTCCTTTGAAGTTCCTCTGTGTATTTCATTATTGTCTTGGGATCTGGAAAAGCTGTTGTTACTTGAAACCATGAGATCTGGAATCCATTAAAGATGAGACTGAGCCAGGGAGCACTGGCATGGTACTGAGCACTCAGCCACAACAATTTAACCCAACTGTGCGAGAAAACCTTGATTAATTATATCCTCAATAATTATGTCTAAAACTATTTCTACTCTCTAAATGATAGGTAACTAAAATTAAATAGCAAATTTGAAATAGGAATAACACACTTATTCACATTCACATGACCTATATCAACTGTATAAAATTACAATTCACTAAGAATGAAATCCACTCCTGTCCATCATTCTCAGAAAATCTATACTGCCCGCAGGAAAACATACCAGCCACATGCTGCATTATTCATGGGATTATAATGTTTCCTCCCTTTCCAAGAGCAATAAGATTTGCAGGAATATAAAAGAGAATATAAAGAATAATGCAAATCAAAGCCTAACAGGTAAAAGTTACCACCTAGTGCTATCTTCCCACTCCAGTGGTACAACTTGGGAAGGAGATGCTCCAGTCTGCACAGTAACACCCGCTGGGGAAGGGACACTGATTCTGCACCATGTGACAGGCATAGTAATTAAGAGTCACGCCTTTGCCATCAGAGCTGGGCCCTTGCTGTGCCCTCCCACCCTGTCCCCCGGGATTACCAGCCCAGTACCAGTTCATGCCATTTGCAGCACAGTCAGCGTGTGCATCACACCTGTGCTTCCAACTCATCTCACAACCCTTTACCAGAGAAGGCACCGCAGCAGACACGGTAACACCTCTCCAAACATGCAACTGTTTGCAGTAAATCATTGTATCTGCTTTAACAGCCCTGACTAAAATTAATTACAAGCCTAACTGCAGAAATTCTTGCAGCACTTACACTGAACTGCAGCCACACAAGAGAGTGAGAGAGATCCCAAACTTCAAACAAATCAAAGCAGATACTCTGCCCTGCTGCCCAGGGGCACAGTATCAGTGTCTGTGTCCTGCTGGGATGGGAGGGATGACCCCCCCTGGACAACCCTGCCTTTCCCCAGCCAACGATGATCAATGGCACATTGACAGAGAGGATGCACTTTAACGGAGTTTTAACCAAAAAGGAACTTTTAAAAACACCCTGTATCTGTTTAAAATTACATTAGAAAAAAGGTATAATGAGTGTCTCTACTTTCAGTAAAGGATATATTCTCTTATTGTAAACTCTGGTCTACAGGACAACACTCATGTGTTTAAGTTATCACTTCCCAATTACACACAAATTAATAATTCACTGCCACAGGGAAAAATGAGCCCAACTATGTATCATTCTTAGAGCAGCTAATTAGGCATGGAGTGGGATAGCTCTGGTGGTAAATGGTAAATAATACATATGGTACATCAAATTTTTTATGTAGATAGACAATTTAATTTGCTTCCTGCTGAAAAATGGAGAACTTATTAATAAGTAAACCATTAATCTCAAGACTAACACGCAAGACTGCCTTCACACATCCACTTACTGTTACATATGTCCATCATACAGAGAATATTTAACAAGCATCACGTTCCTAGATGTGTGTGTGCAGATATGTATGGATATATCCATACATGTCTATACAGACACACGGAGAACCTTACAATTACAATAAAATTCACTGATAAAAGGTCTCAAAACTTCAGAGAAAACGTTAAATATGTTATTTTAAGAGACTGGTAAGGGGTTGCCATTGTATCAAAGGCTTCTCAGTCACATACCATTTATTTTCAGGTTTTAAGAAAATTAAATGAAAATAATTGGCAAAATCCAACTGCTTTTTCATGTAAAACTGAAGTAATTCACTGCAGGAAAGCTAAGGAGTTGAACCAGCTGCAGAGGGTTTTGTTTTGGGGAGGGGAGTTGTGTTTTTGGCTATTTCTTCTTTTTTAAACAAAATAAAGCATAGCTATTCTTAGGGGCCTTCGAGTTTAAGGCAGAGAGTAATTTCTTTCATGCTTTCTCCATGTCCCTGGGCTAGAACCCCTATGCTCATCTAAGCAATTCTCAAGCAATCCATGCTCACTAGTGCAGTGTTGCTTTCCCCATGGTACAACCACCATTCACTCACAGCTCCACAGAAGACTTGGTAGGAACAGAAGATATTTAGACTTCAGAGTTTGAAAACCAAATACATTTACTCTGTACAGAATAACAGTTTCTCTTTCTTAAGGTAGGTAGAAAAATTGTGAAAATCACCTTGACATAACCGTGGTGATGCTAAGAAGTGGTGCTGAGGTATAATGACCTAAATTCTCTCTACTTTTTCCACACTCCTAATAACACAGATACTCTGACCCTTTCCACTCTCCCCTAGAAGCACAAGAGGGAGAGAAATCCTTTACATGTTTTCCTGGCTGACACTGAAGGAACTCATCAACCCACAGCGGGATGCAGCGAGATCCAAAACTGGACTCTTTGTAGTTGAACAGGAATGACTTTAGCCAACTGGAAGTTAGTCCTGATGGAAACTTTATGATTTTTCTTTTCCAGCAGATTAATTGAAGGAAAAGTTTAACTTGATATTTCATTCCAGTATATACTGGCAACTGATAATCAGTGATAACTGCTATGCTAGCAATTCAGGATTGAAAGCATTTCTCCTTCTTGCAAATGGCATCACACATTTGGAATTGATAATGCAGAGAGAGATTTGGCCTGAATTCCAAATTATCTAAGGATCCAAACTCATGATACTGATTATTTTTCAAATCTCATGTTTTCAAAGACAAACTGCAGTTCACATTCCCTCATATTCCCTTGCATGTTTGAACTATTAGAAAATAGCTGGTTCGTGTTTCAAAGGGTCTGATTTTCTAATAAAAGGACTAGAATTGTCTCCTTTATATTTTATTTTTATCGTGAAAAATTCTCAGCTAATCCACAGCCTCCAATTGCTAAGGAATTATCACAGATGCCACAGGATCAAGTATCTTTGGGAGAACTCCCTAACCCACTGGCAATCAGTACATCTGTAAAAACAGCAATGTAGACTGTCCTCTATGAGAAAATAAAAATGAAAAGACAACAGCAAAAACCCCAACAAAGGTATTCTTCACTCAATCCACACTGGCAGATGACTTAGGGAGACAGTATATTTCCAGCACATTAGTGGAAAGATCATAATTAAAAATCAAATGATCACAGAATCATAGAATTGTTTGGGTTGGAAAAAATCTTTAAGATCATTGAGCCCAACTATTAACCCAGCACTGCAAAGCCCACAGTAAACCACATCCTCAAGCCCCACATCTACAAGGCTTTTAAATACCTCCAGGGATGGTGACTCCACCACTTCCCTGGGCAGTCTGTTCCAGGGCTTGACAACCCTTCTGGGGAAGAAACTTTCCCTAACATCCAATCTAAATATCCCCAGCATAACTTGAGGTCATTTCCTCTTGTCCTATCACTTGTTACTTGGGAGGAAAGTCCAATCCCCACTTCACTACAACCTCCTGTCAGGGAGTTGTAGAAAACAGTGAGGTCACCCTGAGCCTCCTTTCTCCAGTTCCTTCAGCTGCTCCTCACCTGACTTGTGCTCCAGACCCTTCCCAGCTCCACTGCCTCTCTCTGGACACACTCCAGCACCTCAGTGTCGTGTAGTGAGGGACCCAAAATCGGACACAACACTCTCGAGGGTTTCACCAGGGCCCAGCATGGGGGGACGGTCACTGCCCTGGTGCTGCTGCCACACCACTGCTGCCAACATTTCTGTGTAGCTGTGCTCTGGCCTGGAGGGTGAGAAGGGCAGACTGTGAGCCAGAACGATCACACCCACCCCATGCCAGGAAGACATCCCACTCTGTATTTGCTCCAGAAATGGAAATCCCAAAGCACCCAGCACAGCTCCCCGCAGGGCTGGCAGAGGCACCTCAGCTCCTGGGCGAGGTGGGCTGGGAATCTCCTGCCCCCTCCACACTCCTGCAGCCCTTGGCTAAGAAGGGCTGGGGCTCACAGACAAAGCCCTCTGCTGTCAGCAGGGACATCTGGGTGAGAGGATGGAGTGAGGGGTTCCACACACCCATTGATAGCAGCTCTGCCAAACAAGTCAGGAAACTAACATATCACTATAGCTCTGAGCAAAAGAAAATCATTTGTTAAAGGTTAAAGGCAATTTTGCCTAATCCTGCCTTTGATCAAAAAGGCAACTATATACACAGCAGGACTCAGATTCTTTTTCTTTTGGCCAGCATATAGCCCATATAGGACTCCTCACTTCCAAGTACACATTGTGGGAAGAAAAAAGAGAAATCATTTTTTAGACCTGTATTTGGAAACACTGGATCATCCAAAGATTCAGAGAAAAACTGGAAGCTGTTAGCCACGGTGGGTATTCCCCATCCTGCCATCAAATGCCCTAACTGAACCACTCTGTGATTTCTGCAAGCAAGGCAATACTGCTCCCACTCAGCAGAGATCATTTCAACTGGTCAGGCTGGGAGGGAGGAGTATCTCTGCCATCTCCTGCTAAGCAAAAAAATTATAAATCATGCCCATAGTCCCTAAATTAAAAAAAATAATAATAAACCAACCCCCAACTGACCAACAAAAAGCCCAAAACAACCCAAAATAACCAACAAGACCAACCAACCAAAAAAACCCACAATAAAACCCCAACAACCAACCAACCAAAACACACAACCACCCCCAAAAACCAAAACAAAACTTCACAGAAATAATTAACCTAAATGTTGAAAAGAAAATAATATTTAAATGTCAACAGCAATTCTCATGAAGATTGATGCAATAATTAAATGGAAATAAATTAACATTTTCATTCCACTAAATGAAATAAACACAGACCTCACAAACATAAAACCACAGAGTTTACATTGGAAAGACAGCTTAAAACTAAAAAGGTTTAACTCAAAACTTTTTTTATTAAAGTATGAATGCATTTATGCTGGAGAACAGTTTACATACATTGTAAAGCAACAAGCATATTTTCAAGAGGTATGGGCCCTCCTCAATACATCTCCATGCTCAATCTACATGCTTTACCACTGGACTCACACAGACACTCTCACATACAAACACAGAGACACAAAACACAGACACAGAGCTATCTGCTTGGATTAGCTTTCTTTTAAGGCTTCTGTAAGGTGCCCTAGTGCCCCTAACACTACCATAATTACAAACAACATTGTACAAAGGAGCAGCATTACTTGCAAACTATTGATCTGCTCTCAGCCTTAAAAAATATCAAGTGAAACAAGTTTTTCCTTTATTTGAGTTTTATTAAACATCTGCATTTAAGAAAGGCATGACCTTATATCTGTGAACAAGGAAAGATACGGGAATCTTAACATGAGGTTCTCAACCAGAACAGATGTTCAAAGCTGACTCCTAAGGGACCATTTCCTTTGATCTTTACAGTGAGGCAGCCCTGTGTGGTGAGGCACTGCCAGCTCCATCCCACCAGAGTCCAGCAATGCAGGAAGTGGGGACACAGAGCTGTGCCCACCATGCTCAGATCTCATCAGACCAGAGGTTGATGAGAAGCCACAGTTCAAACACTGACACACCCAAGGGTCCCTCAACTCTTCCCAGCAGGCCCCTCCTGCAGAGCACATCAGGGTAGGATAATGCACAGACAGCAGGGCTGACTTGCTGAACCCCCAGCCACAGGGAGTATTTTTGCCCACCCCTTTTTGGTATCCTGCAGTACACAGTCTGAAACTGCAACTACTGGTGATGGGTGAAAGACATGGCAGCAGGTACATTAAGAAAATAGGTACAATGAATAAAATAAAGAATAGCATATGATAAAATGTGTACATACAAGCATCTTTCATTTTTTATCTGTGAAATGTGAATTAACTGCAGAATGCCAGGCCATTAGTCTAAAAGGCTATGTATGGCTGTCTTAGCCTACCTACAGTCAAAGGATTTGTGTGATGTATCATGGGGAAAGATTCTTCAGGAACCATTAGGGCTTTCCAGGCCTACTTGCTCTTGTGCATCAGCCCGCAGCTAGGAATGCCAGAGAAGCAACTAATAAAATTGCCTGACCAGTCTCATAAGACAAAGAGGAATGACTGCACTTCATGGTGTGCACCTGAACTACAGAGACAAAAATGGGACAGTGATGGGTGGGTGACAGGGTGGGGTGGGGGGGAGATTTTTTTCTCACTTCTATAACAGCAGCAGATTGCAATGCAACGTAATTTCTTTAATGATGCATATCTGTAGGTACCAAATTGCTCTTCTGATTTAAAAAGCTGGTCAGACAAGTGTTTGGCAGTCCTTTCATTACCCAGTTTCAATTGTTGCTTATTCATCTATCAGCTCTCATTCCCTAAGCCATTTCTGCCTTTGCTGAACTGTGAATGAGTTCAGTCAGCCATCGTCAGATTCAAATTCGTGAGACACTTCCTCCGATGAGCTGTTCCTGTGGATCCGGCCATCGCTTTTCATGCTGTGAAAAGTCTTCTTAAAGGCCTCCATCATGGCATGGGCCAGCTTCTTGGCCTCCAGCTTGCTCTCACACTCCACAGCATGGCAGTCCATCTGGTAGGAGAGGTCGTCGTTGATCTCGCGATAGACCCAGGCGAAGATGTTTGGGCTGACGTTGTGGTCAGCGGTGCAGTAGGCTATACGTGCTACCTGGAACGTATCCATGTGCACTGTCGCCTCACCTTTCAGGTCCAGGTGATGCAGCCAGACTTGGAAAGGGCGAATTTCCAGAAGGGCATTAGCTGGGTAAACATCCTCCCTGGTGAGCGTGTGCTTCTTCCACAATTCGATGACTGGTTTTTCCGTGCAGCCTGACAAAAATTGCATCCCTGTTGTGGAAACCTTACCCAAATACGTAACCTGCAAAGAAGAGCAAAGATAGGTGAAAACACAGAGAGCAGACTCTGGTGGTACTTTCTGCCACCCTGGCGAGTTTCACTGGGAAAATAAAAGCACACACCTCCCCCTGCAAACTCCCCGATTTCCACATCATTTTCAGTAAAACAGTTTTCAAACTGCTTTCCAAATACTTGCTTTTGCAGATGCTGACTTCACCATTCAAACCCAGAGATTAAAAATGCCCATGTGTCTGACTTTCAAGGCATTCCACTTTCTTCACCTCCCCTAGAAAGCCCAGCTTTAGAACCCATGACTCTAAAGCTCATCTTAGCAAGTGCAAGTGCCATTGGAGCAGGTCCCAGGTAGTTTTCATGCAAACCACCTTTTTGTTTTTCCTTCATACTTTATTCAGATGATTTATTTGCATCAGATTTCAAACATTAGTATTAGGGAGATGGAGACATTCTCAGTTTGATAATGCAAGGCTGCAGGGGTCAGAAAAGCATGATCACAGCAGAGGATTTTAAACTGTTTGAATGCTTCTTTTCCAAAATGATCCTGTTTTTCCACCACTTTGCTACTTCTGCTTAAGTATTAAGCCAGGAATAGCTCAAAGCCATTCAAAACTCTATCTTTGAATGGGGCTGAGATATTTATTACATCAATTTAAGAAAATATGCTGCTAAAAAATCTAGTGATAAATCTACCTAGGTTTAATCACATCATCTCCCTGCTTTCCTGTCTAGTCCTTTTGAGTAAATACCCTGTTAGCCAATCAGCACAGGAAAGCCAGGTGGTTTTAGTGCCTTTACAGTAATTTGTTCACCAAATATCAAATTCACTAGGAGGTCCACATCAAAATTCTGTATTCAGCCAGAATACATCTGTACAGAAACATTCCCTTAAATCTGTGCAGCTACTAATGAGGCTTCCTTCTACTTACAGCTGAATGGAAGATTATTTTAGCTGGGAAAAGGGGTTTTCTCTAGGAAAGACAGGTCAATGCCACATAAATGCAATTATGCAGATTATTCTATTTATTGCTGTTGTCAGGATGATGCATTTAAGAGAAACTATAAGAAAGCAAAATTGTTCCTCATATATCTCTTGCAGCAGTAACTGCTTGAGACAAAATCCTTTACCCCTTGGTTGATGTCTTATAACCTCCTTTACATTTTACTCAAGGTATTTGGAGGAAAAATGTAACCACATACACTTTCCAAACTAATTTATTCAAAATTATGCATTAAATACACAGTATAGGTTATTTTTATGTTGTAAATGTGTTAAGAAATGTAAAGAAAAAACATGGAATTTCCACATTTACACATATTTAAAAAATCATAACCACAAGAAATACAGGATTTGTAATCCATACAAACAAAATTTTCCACAAGAAAAATATTTTGCTGCAAGCTTCATACGTTTTGTTAAACTCAGAGGCCTAAATTAAGCCATAATTAAGGCAAAAGCTTACAAAACTTTATTGGAAGTCTGTGTGGCTTAATCATGCTTGCCAAAAAAGCAATTTCATAGCACTGACATTTCAAAATGGGAAGTCTTATTCTTTGCCTATAAATATTCATGATTTGCACTGGGAATATGTTGAATCTTATAAAGCTTTCTATTTTTTTTGGAACAGTGGGAAACACAACAGCTAGAACAGTTAACAAGGCAAGACCTACCAGTGTTTTTGCCTTATTTTATTTTATTAGTGATGAGAATTGAGTTCCCTAAAGTACTGTAGAAAAAGTTAGAAGAAAACCTCAGAGTTCACAGTGCCAACTAAACACATACAAACAGCACATACAGGACCAAAGAGGAATGTGTCTGCAGTATACTTGGGGGTATTTCAAATTATATCCAAAGTCAGATTGCTTGGAGCAGAGCGAGATCATTGTGCAAGTTTGCACATTCAATAGACTCTCCAAAGGTTCACTCAGCACTGTTTCATACTCACAAACCAGCTAACAAAAGACAAACACTGTAAACCGACACTTGGGGTCAAATTCAAAGCCCATTGCAGCATCAGAAGTCCTTCACTAACTTCAAAGAGATTTGCACAAAGACTTTAAACCCCGAGGAACAGTGAAATAGCCTCTTGCTCATGCACTTTGTCACTGCCCAAATACAGCCTTGAATCCCCTGGCCACAGGAGAGAGCTGCCACCACTGCAGCGTTCTGTCCCCTCAGCTGCTGTTTGGAGAAGCCCAGTGTCACCTGGAGACCACAGAAATCGGCACCTCCCATGAGAGCACAAGAGGGGATGCAGGGAATTGTTTCACTACTGGCTTGTCCTAAAGAGAAGCTGCTGCCAGCTCGTGAGCAGCAGCAAGAGGATGGGGAGAAGGGAGGAAAGCAAAGGCAACTCCATCCCAGGCACTCAGCATTGCTGAGCTCTGTGCTGCAAATTCACCCCAGCACACAGCATCAGCTTCTGAGCATGGGCAGCTCCAAAGTGATGCTCAGACACCTTCAGCAGCCAAGGAGCAAGATCAGAGTAAGCTGTCACACAGCAGCATAAATTGAATTTAATGTTCTCCTCGGTTTCTCTGCAGCAGCTAACTGCAACCCCTTGTTGGCCATCAATCCGTGTGTGGCCTGCTTAAGAGTGAAGTTACTACAAATAATGGATTTCCCTAAAATATAGTAGTTGTATTTTAAGAAAAAAAAGTAGTGAATTACTCTGTAAGCACCCAATGCAAAAATAACTAATAATAAGGATGGAATTCTGGATTGTTTACCAAAATGGGATGTGCTGGTCTGATTTACTGTCCCAGTTCTGTCACAGTATAACCGCATAGGAACCTTTGGAAAGTTGTTTCTTTTAACATCACTTTGAACCTCCATTATATAAATCTCATTTTCCTTTGAGGACGCACCATAAATATTTATAAGGTGCTTAGACATTACAATAAGGAGTTCACAGGAAAGAATAAACAAAGCCTCAACTTCAGAGTTTCTCCTGCCCTGTGTCTTATATAGAAATATCTACACCTACTAGTGCTGTTACTTTTTGGTTTTTAAATGAATTGTCCTTTTTTTTCCTCGTTGAGATACATGCATTTGGCAAGAGCATCACTGAAGCTCTTGGTGAACAGATGTCTAACATTTCATTACAGCATGATCCCCTGCTTAAACAGAAGAGGGATACAGGGGCTGGTGAGACACCTCCACTTTGGACCCATGAAAAGCTCTCCTTGAGCTCAGAGTTACAAGGTTATTCCACAAGCAGTGCTCCCTGCATTTTGGCTCCTGCCTCAACACACCTCACAGCATACCCACCTTCGTTTAAATGCTCAGAAACCACTGACCACATCATTACACTGAAGCTATCACAGTACAACCATCTTCCTTTTCAATTTCCAAGTCTGCCAACCAAAGGTCAAAGAACAGATCATTCCTTTCACTATCAGATGGAAAAGAAAGCTATTTTGAGACAAAAGTTTCCACTGGTGGTCTTTCCCATTAAAATCATTGATATCTCATCCGTGTGAAGCCATTAGGCATTATAAAAAAGACCCCAAAACAAAACAGAATTTCATTTTTAATATTCATAAGAACCAGGATGCAAGGGCCACAGAGAGACAGTAGTAGTAGCAGCAGTAGGGATGTTACAGTTATCATTGCACATACAAAAACACACTGAAGTGCCTGAACAGCATCGACTCCACAGCTTTACTGACCAGAGAGTGATCATCGACAGACAGGGAAAGCCACAGTGCAGGCTGAAAGCCACATCTGTGACAATACAGCTCTGACCACCAGCAAAAGTTCACCAGGACTGCATAATGCTTTTCCTTCCTCTGAAACTCTGGAAGTCACTTGATACCAAACATCAGTCCAGGAAAATTACTGATTTGTGTAAGTGGGGCATGTCCTATAGCAAGTGTCATCCTATACACAGTGAGGCCAGGAACTTTATTCCCTCCTCTCTAGGGTTGTTAAGCACTGGAATGAGCTGCCCGGGGGAGTGGTGGAGTCACCATTCCTGGAAGTTTTCAAGAAACAACTGGTCATGGTGGGATTTGGTCAAAGGTTGGATTTGATGATCTCGGAGGTCTTTTCCAATCTCAATGATTCCATGATTCTATGATTCCAGCCTCAGTGCAAGGCAGAGTAGCTACAGGTTGGTTGTAACAAGTAAATTATAATCAAGCTGTTGCAGCCTTTACTTGTTTTTTTGGACACTGCATTTTAAGTGAGAAAAGGAATGCAAATTCAGCTCAATGCCACTGTGTTAACTTCAAGCAGTGAAGGCATTTCCTATCCTGTCTTCTACAAGGGATAAGAGTATATTTCTTTATGGCCCTTTTAGTCCTTGGTTTGTGTGTTCCATCTGACCCACAGATTTCTGGAAGATACATCCATCTCACAAAAATTTCTTGTGCATGTTTAAAATTATCCACATTGTTTCCAGACTTTCTATGGCAAATTTCATTCTCTGGCAAGCTGCTGTCACCAACCATGACATAAAATACACTTGAGGCTTCAGCACTTCTATGCTTGCAAGCATTCAAACCTTTTGTAAAAGCCAAGATGTTCTGAAGAGCTCCTTATTTCACCCTAGAGATTCGCCAGCACCAGTGTCAGTATCTGGCAAAACTGTCCTCAACTGAAAAATGCTGTGCCTTTGCTCTTTTGTAATGCAGCTACACCCATGTGATATATGGAGACATCTCATGTCAAAGGACACGAAGAATAATTGATGCCATTTTTCATGCACTCTTCTGGAAACACAGAAATATCTGAGTATTTTGACATTGCTATTTTCAGACCCTTCAGTCCAATAATGTATAGTGAAAATGTCTTTTAATAACTATGTTCAAGAACTTACAACTTTGAAAAGACTGGCAGAGCAGCTGCCATAGACGTTTACACTTCTAGCACTGTATGATTTGTCAGAAGTAATAAGGAGTTTTTCCTTTTCATACTTTCCTTTTCCTCTTTCATCACTGATCTCAAATTGTTCACTTGCAATTCACAGGAGATAAAGAGCAGCTCAGCTCCTGCATGTGGAT